AACCAAAATTCAGGATACGGTCAGCCATGTCTGATAACAGCAAACTAAATGTGAGCAAGGTATTTAAATTGACCTAGGTTTATTTTAAAACTTTAATTTCATGTGAAACTTAAATATAATGATTTGTGTTGCCGGTTAGAATTATTGTAATTAGCTATTGTGATCAAATTTAAACTTTTATTTAAAGGTTGAATGGAAAAGTTTTTTTCTTATTTGATAACCATGCTCTTAGCTAAATCATGGCACTGTAGGTCACCTGGTGGTAGTATCCAGCCTCACTGAAAAGTGCCCAGAATGGAAATTGAGTGAATCTAACCAGCATGCTTCTTAGGTGAGACGACTGAGGCTTAGGAACATGGCGTGCCTAAACAAAAATCATAAACGAATTGGTGGTACAGAAACCTTCTAGTTTAGAATTCTTTTCATCAGGGACACCCGGGTGGCTCAGTTGTTAAGCGTCTGCCTTCAGCTCGGGTCATGATCCCAGGGTCCTGGGATCGAGCCCCACATCGGGCTCCCTGCTCCGCAGGAAGCCTGCTTCTCCCTCTCCCACTCCCACTGCTTGTGTTCCCTCTCTCGCTGTCTCTCTCTCTGTCAAATAAATAAATAAAATCTTAAAAAAAAAAATAGAATTCTTTTCATCAGACCAAACATAGCAATAGCCTAACTGTAACTCTTTTAATTACCAACTAAATGAACTTGAAAAGCCACTTAACCCCTGTTAGCCTCAGTAGCCAAATCTATAAAATGGGCTAATCATACCTCTCCCTCATAGGAGATTACAAACACACCGAAGCCTAGACCCACACTTGGCGCACAGTGGGAGCTATCGCTGTCAGGATGGTCATGATAGTTCCTTGAAATTCTACAAGCATTTACTGAGCACCTCTATAACACCAGGGACTGTGGAAGGCTTTCTGGAACCAAGAGTTAATCAGACTAATTAGATTAACAAAATACAGCCCCTCGCTGATTTCTGCAGGCAAGTAAACAGTTTTCGAGGCTTGATTTACAAACCCAAATCTAAAGATCCCTGCTCCTTAGAGCTGGGCATTAGGCATTGTTTTCAAATAGGAGCAACACTAGGAAAATAGGAGATGGCATGGAAACTAGATACTCAGGTTCCGGGGTCCAACAAAGATTTCCAGCCAGCGAGTGCACAAACATTCCCGGGGCTTGAGCCATGTGCGGACAGAGGTCGGGAAGGACGGAGGACGCCGGACAGGAGGAGACAGTCCGTGGACGGAGGAAATGCATCAGATGGGCATGGCTGAAGGCCGTCACTGCAACCCGAATGAAAAGCAGGACTCCAAGAACCAGATTAAAATCCGAGGCCGCACTGACCAGAGAGTAAAGCAGGCTCTGACCCAGATGTCCTGGTGCAGCCCTTAGCTGTGTGACCAAGAGGGAGGGGCACAGCTTTCTGAGGCCCGGGTTCCTCATCTGTGAAACTGGGTTTGGGTGCCACAGGATCGCCTGGAGCCCTTCCAGCTGCAGGAAGGCCTTCCTGCCTTTCTCTGTACCTGACGCCATTCCATTTCCATGGCATCTGGGTTTCGACTCTGTGTCAAACAACCTGGGCCCAGCCTCCTTCTAGGTTGTGGAGTCTGGGAGCCCTGGCAGAGGCCGCGGGGAAGAGGCCAGTCTTTGGAGGCAAGCAGACCTGGATTTAAGTTCCACTCCTGCCCTTGGCATGGCGGAGGGCCTCACACGCTGTGGGCGTGCCCTAACATTTAGTTTCTTTCTCCATAAAAGAGCAGCACTCCCATGCACACACGCTCACACACACCCGCTCGGAGAGAGAGGGGAACATATTTCATCTCCCCAGGAACCGCACCCCGGGTGACACTTCTGTCTGGTCCCCGTCATGTGCGGGGACGATCTGAGCGTCAGCGTAGGGGTTTGGTTTCAGCATCGGAGTGAAGAGCAAGGCCGTGGACACATTCGACTTGGGTCTGCATCTTGGCTCTGGCTTAGGGTCGTCACCTAACCCGCCACTCCCATGTTTCAGTTTACATTTTCTAGCAGCCACATTTTAATTACAAAGTAAGAAGAAATAGATACAATTCCTTTTAGTATTGTGCTCAACCCAGTGTATTCAAAACACTATCATTTCAATCTGCAACTAATATAAAAACTGGGAATGAGCCGGTGGCCACAGTTTCACACTGCAGCAGACCTCAGTTAAGGGCCTCAGTGGTCAGTTGTGTCCCCTTGATTAGGCCGTGCGAGCTGCTCCCTGTCAAGGGCAGGTGGCAGGAGCACCCACCTCCTGAGGCTGTGGTCAGGAGCGGACACAGGGCCAGTGCGTGCAGGGTGCTTGGCGCAGCCCGGGGCCCTAGGAAGCACAGAGACGGTGTCTTTCAGTGCTGGGGTGCTCCCCGGGGTCCTCACCTTGTCTCATGCACTGCAGATCCCGTGCCACTCTGCTGGTCGCCTTGTTCCGGTCCGCCTGAATGGAGTCACCCCCCAGCGGGCCAGGCTAGGAGAAACAGGGCTGGTTTTCCTTGAGCTAGGAGGGGCCGGTACCAGGCCTCCCGGCCCACCCGCCCCCGACACAGGTGTGATTCGTGATTGTTCTAGAGCAGGAAGAGGTCAGACAGGTGAGGCATTGTTTGCTCAGAGCTGGGGAGAGGCGCAGTTCATGGGATTAGGTCTCTGGGGGAGTTAGAAATACAGGTACCAAGCCTTGCCCTGAGAGGGCAGGGTGTGCACGGAGGGTAACTGGGAGGCGCCCATGGCTCCAGATGCCAGGCCGGCACTGCCCTGGTTGAAGACGGTCTCTGTGGCCACTTGGTCTCTTCTCTCTCCTCTCTTTCCCTCCCTGTATCTTTTCTTCCTTCCACAAATACTGAATGAATGTTTGTTCCATATGCTGCCAACGCCCAGCATTATAAATAATAAACGACACTAATGAGTTCTCAGTATGTGTCCAGCCGAGTGCTAAACACTGTGGGCTCCTTCTCTCATTTCAAGGCCACAACCAACCCAGGTCTGTAAGTGCTGCTATTCTTCTCATTGTTCAGACGGGGAAAACTGAGGAACAGAGAGGTGAAGTAGGTTGCCCAAAGTCTTACAGCTAGGGTTTGCATCTAGCCCATATGGCTTCGGAAAGGAAGGCCCTCTCGAGTGGGTACTAGGAAAGCAACTGGAGGAGAAACTAGCTCTGCTGGGGAAGTCAAGAAAGGCTTCTCGAAGGAGGTGACGTTCTGTCTGGGGGGCTTGAAGGATGAGTAAAAGTATTCCCAATAGGAAGGGAGCCCAAGGAAGTAGGATCAGGAATCAGCAAAAATTTAAAAATGTGGATTACATAGTTTATCTTCCATGTCCTTCCAGCTGTCTCCTCTATAAACTGAATGGTATTCGTCCTCTCAACCTACCCAGTGGCCTCTGTTAGCTTTTGGTGGTTTGTCTCCTAAAGTACTCTACATCTGGAGCCTCTTTCTCTCCCTTACTTTTATCAATCATATTTAGGCCATGTTTGAGAAAATTCAGAATGTTTAGGCACATTTTTCAGCATCAAAAATATTCTTAGGGCAAACCTGCTTTATAGTATCGCGAGTGGGATTTCTTCTAAGAACCCATATGGTGTTGTAGCCAAGAGGACAGACTCTGGGCTGGAGCAAGCCTGCATTGGAATCCCAGCTCTACCACTCATCAGTCGTGTCAGGAAATGTGGGTTCCTCACCGTCTCTGAATCTCAGCTTCCTCACTGATAAATTGAGGTCACAGTTAATCCACAGGACAGATGTGAGGGTTAGGTGGGTTCCCACACACAAAGTGCCTGGCACACAGTTTTCCTCAATACCTCACCAAAGAGAGGCGCCTGGGTGGCTCAGTCAGTTAAGCATCTGCCTTCAGCTCAGGTCATGATCCCGGGGTCCTGGGATCGAGCACCCAGTCGTGCTCTCTGCTCAGCGGGGAGCCTGCTTCTCCCTCTACCTGCCACTCCTTCTGCTTGTATGCTCTCTCGCTTTCTCTCTCTCTGTCAAATAAATAAATAAAATCTTAAAAAAAAAAAAAAACCTCACCAAAGAGTTTCTAAAAGGTAAGAAAGCACCCTAAGGAAAAGCGTGTATGATCTCCAAATGCACATCTCCTACTCACCATCGTCAATGAGGTTGGAGGGAGCAGTGCTGGTTTTTGAAGAGATGTCAAGCATGTGTCAGCTGTGCAGGTCACACATTCAGGCTTTCCTAAGGACCCAGAGTCACTGAGACCTGGGGGCTGACTCACACTGACCCTACGCACAAGCAACTGATGTATAAACCAGAAGCCTGATGGTTAATTTATGCGGGAGAAGGATGCCTCTCCAGCATCTCTCCAGCAGGCTGGGCAAACACTGACAAGTTCTTCCCCTCTGATCCCCCTTTCGTATCCTGCAAATAGACTGCATTGTCACTTCAGAATGCCAGGCAGCAATGCACTTCACTGAGCTGCAGCCTTCATTAGCTGGCTTCCACTGGTTCTCGAATTAGAGCTGGATGGGGGTCGGGCAGAAGGCTAATCTTTAATTAGGTGCAGTTTCTTTCTGAGGAGCAGCCCAGCACCTTGCTCAGACCTGGGACTTCCCAAATTACCTCATTAACTCCTGTACAAGCCAACTTGGAGGGTGCAGCAGCTCTGCAAATGGCTCCCTTCACCTGGAAGTGCCGGTTCTCATGGGTCTCGCTCCCAGAGGGTGGCCTTATTGCAGTATCCCATCCTAACTGGTACTGCGCATACACTGACCGAAGAAGGGAAGGGAATGAGCACTGCTGAGAGGGGGGTCTTACACTCGAGCCTCAGACTTTGTTGGAAGGTATTTTTATCCCCATCCACTCACTGTGTCACCCCAAAGCACGTGCCCTTTCCAATACCCCCTGTGTGGTAACATCTACCAGTCACAGAACCAGAACTCGGGGGCCGGACACATTCTCATGGAGGCGTGGCAGTTCTAGCACTTTCGCTTTCAGTGGAAGCTCAGCTATGATTCAGTTCTCTTCCGGATTTGGCTTGACTGTCAGAGGTTAAGGAGATTCTGATGAAGAAATAAAAGAATATGGCCTTGAGGGTGGGCCAAATGGGTGAAGGTGGTCACAGGGTACAAATCTGCAGCTATAAGATGAGTAAAGTCTGAGGATCTAATGTACAGCAGGGTGACTACAGTCAACAATACTGTATCGTATACTTGCAAGTTAAGAGAGGAGATCTTGAATGCCCTCACCAACACAGTGTCCATCCTCCCGCCAAAGGAAACAAATGGTAAGTATGTGAGGTGATGGATGTGTTAACTAACTTTATTGCGGTAATCATTTCTAAAAATATACGTATAGCAAGTCACCATGTTGTACACTTAAACTTACATCATGTTACATGTCAATTATATCTCCATTAAGCTGGAAAGAAAAGGGATATGGGGACGGCCAAGGTTGAGTGGAGCAAGGAGGAGGCATGTTCCAGGGGGAATCTTACCAAATCCTATTGCAGGAGGCATAACTGGTAATAATTGAAAGAGAATTTTAAGTATAAATAAGAGACAAAAAATAAATTACTCAAAATTGCCAGTACTATTTTCTAAATATTCCTTTTTGTAGAGTTTTGACTTTTGGAATCACGTTAATGGTTTGATTATTCAAAACAATAAAATTAATTCAACAAAGCTGGGGGGAGAAAGTGAAACTTGATTACGAACAGGAACAAGGGAGCCTGTGTTTCGGATGAATACCAGACACAGTGAAAGGGGAAAAAGTGGACTAATCCAAGTAACTTTTGAACACAATTCTTTGATTGTATATCATCAGTCTAAAGAAAAAAGAAACACAAACAAACGTTGAACTCTACTTAATGGGTTTGTTTTTCACAGTGGAATGGATGTAGCAGTTCCGGAAACTATTCTGTGTGTTGCAAGATTGGGCAAATGATACTATAGTTTTGTCCTTTGGGAACCGGGGTTCTCACCAAGGAGAAGAGTGGGAACAGGGAAAGACAAGGAAAATGCTGAGTTTAGATTGGTGCTAGAGGGAGCAGTACGAATTCATAATTTTACATGGATGGCATGAATGAGAGCTGGACCGTATGAAATGACTATTCTTTCCAATTTTGTCCACTGTGGAGGCCTTAGAAGCAAGAGCACTCAGCCCATCTAGTGCCCAGGTCTTGCTTTCTTGGTAGTGTTCCCCACTAAGAGCAGCCAAAGCTCCTGGAAGAAATGGTTGATCCCCAGGAGTATAAGATGAGCTTGTGCTGGAAAGTAAGGAAGAACTCAAAGAATGATGAGGGGCTGCAAAAAGGAGCCACTTGGAAAGCTGGCACAACCTGGGCATTACAACAAATAATGAGAGTAGCAAATTACAATCTGTAGAATAAAAGAGAGATCCCGTACTAGTACTAGCTAAAGAAGGAAAAAGGCAAAACCTTGCTCAGAATAAAATGCCAATGACTAAAAATATCGATGAAACGATAGAGTCAGAAAATCAACATTGTAACCATTGTTGTAATAATGAACGGAGGCAAGAATCACCAATGTATATTAACTAGTAGAGGGAAAATTTTATATGGACTAGGTTATCTACACACTCTTAAAGTATCTCCCTATAGACTACTTAATAATTAATTATAATTAATTAATCATTACTTATTCATTATCAGGGGGAAATTATAATTAAAAAGCAGAGACACCTGGAAGACATCACCTTAACCAAGGGATCAGAATTAACATCCTCAATAATGGGACAAATATATACCATGTATTTCCTGATGTGATACACTGAGGATACAACATCCCTTCTATGGTATTCCTGGGGGAAGGGGGAAAGAATAGACTAACTCCATTATGAGCAAAGATTAGACAAACTCAAATTTGAAGAGCATTCTACAGAACAACTAGCTTATACTCTTCCAAAATGGCAATTCATGAAAGACAAAGAAAGCCTCAAGAACTGTTCTGGGCTAAAGGACCTTAAAAAGAATTTATAACTGGGGCACCGAGCTGGCTCAGTTGGTGGAGCATGGAATTCTTGATCTTGGGGTCATGAGTTTGAGCCCCATGTTAGGCGTAGAGGTTACTTAATAAAAAAATAATAATAATAAAAGGAATTTATAATTAAATGCAATGTGTGATTCCAACGTGACCCTGGACTGAATCTTGGGATAAGGAGGAAAGATTGCTTTAAAGAACTCCACTAAGACAGCAAATTTTGCATATGGAATGTAGATGATATAATAGTATGTATGTGTTAAGTTTTCTGAATTTGAGAACTATAATGTGATTATGTAAGAAAATGTGCTTGTTTTTATGAAACAGACATGAAGTTTTTAGATTGTGAGTGTGTATGTAGGGAAGGGGGGGAATGAAAAAATACCAAAGTAACAAAATATCAATAGTTGGTGAATCTGGACAAAGGGCATATGGTACTTTGTAATTCTTCTGCACTTTTGAAGATAATCAAAATAAAAAGTTAGAAATACTATAAAAATTAAAATTTTCTAGTTATATAAATACCAAGTAATGATTAGGAAGCAGGAAATTATTAATGTCATTGTTTACCATGAATGCCCAAATGCTAAGGACTGACGGTGTGTGTCCCTTCAAAATTCATATACTGAGATGGTATCCCCTACGTGATGGTGTCTGGAGGCAGGAACTGTGGAGATGATTGGGTTTGGATGACATCATGGGGTGGAGCCCTCAAGATGGGATTAGTGCCCTTCTAAAAGGATTAAGAGACCAGAGCCCTCTCGCTCTCTCAGTTATGGGAGGATGCAACAATGAGGTGACAAGCCAGGGAGAGCCCTCATCAAGAATCCAACCATGCTGGCATTCTGATCTTGGACGTCTAGAATGCAAAACTGTGAGAAATAAATTCCTGCTGTTTAAGCCACTCAGTCTGTGAGATTTGTTCCAGCAACCCTAGCTGATTGAGCACCAAATAACAGGAAACCCAGGTGCTCTCCCAATGGGAAGATAAGGTCCTATCCCTTGCTTATACCTCAAAACAACATTTCCAACAGCATTACGCATAGATTCCCAAAGTGCCCAATTCCCACTCCCACCAGCACTGCATGTGTGCACGCATCCATTTTTCTACAATGGGACTCACCACCCAGGGGATCCCACACCACCTCTGGAGCCCGGGGTCGAGAAGCCAGATGCTGCTTGTGCTGACCCAGCCTTCAGCCCTGAGCCTTCCTCCTTACCATTAGATCCGATCACCTCTGCCTCACACTCTTTAGATCCTGATACCATCAAGGAGGAAAGGTTTCAACAGTTTGAATCCAGGACTGAGTCACTGATCTCCTTAGTTTGTTCATTCATTCCACATGCGGGCTCTGTGAGGGGCCTTGGCAGGCAGCTGATGGGGGACAGGGGAGAAGAAGGGCCAGAAACGTCTGCATGGCTGCAGAGTTGTGATCTGGGGAGAATGTGGGGAAGGAGTACCATGGAAAAGACCTACCAGAAGGAAGAACAGCTTTGAGGAAAAGATAGGAAAGCCACAAGGAGCTGAATTTTGGAAAAAGTAGAGGGTTAAATATTGCAACAGGTTATCTGGGTGATGTTTACCAGACAGTAGCTGCTCAGTGTTTGCCAACCAAGTGGGAGGGCTGTAAGATAACCCCTTGGAGGTGATAGTGGAAGCCCCAAGGATTGATAAGACCACTGAGTTTAGGGCAAGAGTCAAGGACAGAATTCTTGTACTACCTCCGTCAGGATTTTATAGACTGGGTGTCAGAGTTCTACACATTTCTGTAATTTTCTAAAGAAAAAGACTCATTCTTTTGTAAGATGGACCCATCCTTTACAAGATGCCATCCCATCATATCTCTATCTATCGATCTATCTATTGATCTATCTATCTATTCATCTACCTATATAGGCAGTATTTACTCTCCCAGGGCCAGTAAAGAAGCAAGGCTTTCTCATATTATAATTAATATGTGTTATGGCAGTGCATGGGGAATAAAATTAAAGTGATAAAGCTGGTGTTGGTTTTATCCAGTCGGTGTTATTACAGATGACTTTATCTTGACACCTCCCACACTGATCACCTTGAGAAAACTGAGGAACAACCCACATGGGGATTCAGGCCTGTGGGAAGAGTCGGATGAACTGGGGGTTTTCCAGTGTGGTTCAAACAGCTTTGGAAGATGGTCATTCGTGCTTCATTCATCAAACTCCTTCCGAGGACCTGCATGTACCAGGTACTAAGTAGTGGGGGAGGTTGGGATGTGAATAAGACAGAGTCCCGACTCATAAAGCCCACAGAGCCTGGAGGAGAAGAGCTATTTGTAAGGAGAAAATATAATACATTGTCCTGTGTGTATATGTGACCAATAAGCCTCTGGTCACAACATTTTCATCAACTGACCAATAATACATAACGTCATTTTATGTGTTTCTGTTTAAAGACATCTTATTTAATACACACTGTTAGTTCTTTAACACTATCCTCACCGACACTAACTCATGCCTGAATGGCCCTTCCCTAACACACGCATTTTCAGCCTTCTTGTTCTTAGAAACCCTACATAGCACTTTGGCACGATGCTCGGGGGCCATGTCAAGCAGCAAAATCAACAAAAAGCACAAAACTGTGAAACACGTGGCACTAAATAGACGGTGAAAAGTACTCTTGTATACAGCATGAGAGCCGAAACAAGAAGCGCTTCACTTTGTTTGACTTCAGCCAAGAGCTCAGCCTGCCCCGGGAGACTTGACTTGTTCACCACTGTGCGCATGTCTAGGAATAACTGTGAAAAGAGTAGGGGTATGAATTTGGGGGTTACAAATGAGATTTAGCGAGTAGGTAAACTTGCAAATACAGAATCCCCACCTAATGAAGACTGTCTCACTCTCTCACTCTGTCTCTCTCTGTCTCCATCTCTCTCTCTCTGTCACACACACACACGCACACGCACACACACACACACACACGATGCTGTGGGAGCACAGAGGAGAGAAGGCAGCAAACCCTGTCTGCACTGCATTGGAGGCAGGAGGAGGGTTATGTCCTCCAGGATGTAACACCTCAATTATGCCCGTTGCTGGTAATGACCATGTACTTGCTGAACCGAGCAGTTCCTGTTGATGCTGTAAGGGTAAGGGTGGGTGGGAGAGGGGAGAAGACAGCAGGAAGAGGGATGAGAATACAAGGGTGGGTTAGCCGAGAAGGAGGGAAGACTGAAAACTCTCCCTGAATCTGCAGGGAGTGGGTGACTTTTTTACATTTCCTGCCCCTTTCCCACTGCATCAGTATCTTCCAGTTAGGACGTGAACGGAGAACAGAATTTCTGAAGTCATTAGGACGTGAACAGAGAACAAAATTTCTGAAGTCATTTTCTTTCTTTCTAAATTATGAGCATTACCTTGCCGCTTTTCAGTGTTCGAAAACTTCGTTAAAGTTCCTTCACTTTCACAACGCAGTTGAGAAGTCATGGGAGAGTCTGAGCAGTACCATTGGCAGGACTGGATGTAAGCTCTCAGGATCCAGGTCCTCAAGGCATCCAGAGAAAATGAGGCTGTTAGAGATTTCTGGGTGGAGACAATAGTCTGCAGCACTCAGAGTTTATTTCTGGAAAATAAATAAACAATAAATCAGCTTTGAGGAATGTCTCTTTAAAGATTTGGTCTTGCATGCCCTGAGCCAGGCCAAAAGGGATGTGCAGCTGAGCTGGGCAGAGACTTCCATGGGACCATCAGAGATAAAAGATGTGTCAGCCCTTTGCTACTCTGTTGGCAAAAGTGTTAACTTGTCCTTCACTAATTTTCTAGAAAACTTGGAAGTTACCATAATCACAGATTCTTAAAAAGAAGAAGGAGGGGGAGGAGAAAGAATATGAAGGTTTTTTTTTTTAAAGATTTTATTTATTTATTTGACAGAAAGAGAGAGCACAAGCAGAGGGAGCGGCACGTGGAGGGAAAGGGAGAAGAAGACTCCCTGCTGAGCAGAGAGCCCAAAGTGGGGCTCAATCCCAGGATCCCGGGATCATGACCTGAGCCGAAGGCAGACGCTTAACCGACTGAGCCACCCAGGAGCCCCAAGAGTATGAAGTTCTATGCGGGAAGATGCTCAAAAGCTTAAGAAATTGTCCCTATAACTTTTTAAAGAGCTGGTTTTCTCATCTTGAAAATATGAATAGGAGGGGCGCCTGGGTGGCTCCGTCTGTTAAGTGTTCCACTTTTGGTTTCGGCTCAGGTCATGACCTCAAGGCCATGAGATGGAGCCCCTCATCAGGCTCTGCCCTCGGAGGGGAGTCTGCTTATCTCTCTCTCTCCCTCTCTCCCTCTCCCAAGCCCCTCCCCCACTTGTGCACATACTCGCTCACTCTCTCTAATAAATAAATAAATCGCAAAAAACAAAGAAAATAAGAATAGGAAAATCTCTCTCTAAAGTTTAGTGAAACTGGGGACTTTGAGACACTGGAAATGTTCCTGTCCTCCTACCTGTAAAAAGATGCCCCTCCTACATGTTGTGTGATATACTTTTTATCACAGTATTGAAGTATCCTTAGAGATTGAACAGGCCATCCTCCATTTTTTTGAAATGATCTATCACTATCCTGAGAAATTTGATGACCTGCCCAAGACCATGCATCCAGCCAGGGATTGAACCCAAACCCTCCACAGCAGTGCTTTCCTCAGTGAGTGGGTAGTGTTTGTTGTTCTCCTTCATCATGGATCTGGTTGGGTAAATACTCAGATAGATAGACTAATAATCCATTAACTACAGGGAAAAACCAATATACACCCCCACAGCTTTGATCCAACTTCTATTAATGCAAGGGTCCCTGGCTTGCGATGGGCTTACATCAGAGGACAATGACCTCAGGAACTAACTTGTTTTCACCCTTCTCGGTACAGGCATTGGCCTCATGGGTGGGTGCTTCCAAGTGAGGCTTCTGCTGTGCTGGGTAGTAGAAAGGCCCAGGACTTCTAGCTGGGTAGGCCTGCTGAATGGAATCTGTCACTAACTGTGACTTCAGGCACAGGTACAATTTATTTTCTCCAATACTCAGTTCGCTCTTCAATAAAAATGGGGACATGTATATTTTCTAGGACTCAATGAGATCACATGTGATACATGCTCTATCAATTTTAAGTCTTAATAGTTGGTAATCTTTTCCTCCTCTTCCTCCTCCTTCTCCTTCTTTTTGGTTAAAAAGTATTTATGCCTATTAATGGTGTTGGGTGAAGGGCTTAGGGAACTCACTACAAGTTATTTAAACTTTTTTTCTCATTAAAAGGATATGATCAAAGCAATTCATGCACATTACAGAAGAATCAAAAAGACAGAAAGTGAAAAAGATGACAATGTTCCATTGCATGTTAGTAGTTGATGGATATCTTTCTAGACTTTCTTCTATGCACATATAATATACATGTTATATACAGATAACATCATACTGAGTTACTATATTGTAACTTGCTTTTAAAGTCCAATAATAGATCATGAACATCTTAACATATAAATGAACCCGTTTGCACAACTTAATTTTTAATTACTACACAGTAGTCCATTGACAGTGGATTCAGTTATCCAAACCAATTCTCTTTGATGGATATGCAGAGTGTTTCCAATTTTCTGCTGTTATGAACATGCTACAGTTAACATTTTTGTGGGTAAGCCTTTGTCCGCACCCTTAATTATTTTCTTAGAATTATTTCTAGAAATGGAATTACTGGATGAAGGCATTTCCTAATGTGAAAGGGTTTTAAGGACTTGGTTCTCATCAAGATCATTGAAGGTAGCAGTGATGAAAGGCCCCAGCTTTTTCAGGATACCCATGTCACCAGGGTCAGAGGCAGGAAGAATGGACTTGCATGTCCATCCATCCTAATGGGGTTCCAGCTCATGTCTGTGGGCTCTAGCCTGCTTCCCACCCACCCCCCCACTTCACAATTGATCTTCTGTTCTTGAACACCTGCCCCATGGACTTCAGGCTCCAGTAGCAGATATGAACACGGTCTTACAGGGACTATTTATTCAGTCCCCTCAAGAAGGAAGGGGGGCACATAATTGCATAAGCCCGTTCCCTGTAATACCTCCCACTGATTCCGTTCCTCTGGTTGAACCCTGACAGATACAATCATGAACAAAGAAGACCTATTGGAGGTGATGCTGCTGCAGAGACAGAAGTGACCGTGCATACATACAGAGAGGAAGGGATGGATCTGAGATCTATTAAAGATTGAGGAAGTCAAGACTTGGTGACCTATCAAACATGGCAGTGAGGAGGAGAGAGGGGTCAGAAATGCGCCCAGAGGTTTTAGGTGAGGTGACTGGGTGGAGGGATTTGGGATGGGGATGGGGGGTAGGGAGAGCTGGAGACCCACGTTTAAGACTGTTAAATCGGAGAGGCTTGACAAATCTCTAAGTGGAGATTTGTAAGAGGTGTTGGATACATGGAACTGCAGCTTGTAGGGGATGAACAGGACCATCATCAGTACCACATAAAGGCTAACACCATGGGAGTGGGTGAGCTCCCTCTGGGAAAGCAGGTAAGGTAAGAAGAATCTGAGATTGAGAGGCTGTAGAGGAGAAAGCCAGATTCTCTGGATGAGGGAAGATTGAATTCAGAAAAGAAAGGGGGGTGGTCAGAGGGTCAGATGCCTCTTTAGAGAGCTTGAACCAAAAAAAGGGCTAAATATGGGTCCACTGGATTCAATACCCAGGAGGTCCCTGGTGACCATTGCTGATAGAAGTTTCAGTGGGGTGGTGGGCGTAGAAGCCAAATTGCAGAAAAAAAAAGATGGGACTTCAAGAAGTTGAGACAGGACCACTATCTTTAAAGTCTTGGCTGTAAATAGAAAAAAGTAATACATGAGGAAGAGGAATACAGGATTGAGGAAGGACTTTTTCAGAAATGGAAAAGATTTGAGTAGGTTTGCTGAGGGTACAGGCCCATTTGAGAGGGATGATTAGAAAGAGAGCAGAAGGGGGCAACTATGGAAGAAGACCACTCCATCGGTTGACTTTATGAATTAATTTGTCAGGAGGAGCATTCAAAGTGAGGAGAGTGGAGAAGAAACTCCCTGGGATGCTTTGGAGATGGCTGGAGGAGACGGAGACAGAGAACAAACTCCACATGGGAGGTATACCAGGCATACCAAATGGGAGGGATATCACAGCCTCATGGAGAGAAGAAATCGTATAAGAAGGAGAAACAAACCAGTGCATCCATGGTTTTGGCAAATAAGGAGGTTACTGACGACCTTTGTCCAGAGTAATTTCATTATATTGGTGTGAACCCCAGCCAAAGTATAGTGGATTGAGATGTGATAGAAATGTGATCAATTATCTTTTATTTACCAAGGCAGATATAAATTAGCACTTTGTGGGAGATCATGGCGACTGATGGCAGAAGGTCCATAAGTGGGCACTCTGGTGTCTTGGCAGTGCAATTTGGTAAACTCTGTTTGGAAAGCAATTTGACAGTAAATGCCAATAACCTTCAAATATTCATATTTTGGAGTACTCTATTTCTAAGACTCTACCCTTAGAAGGTATTCATAAATACTGGAAAATTTTATGCCTGATAATATTTATCGTCAGGCCACTTATAACTGCGAAAAGGTGGGAACCACCTAAACTTCTGCCAAGAGAGAAGAGTTTAAGTAAACTATGGTATGTTCGTTTGCTGAAATCCTGACTAGTTATCACAAATGACGTTTGTGAGTCCTATAACATAGAAAGATGTTTATGCTATAATGTTAAATTACAAAGCTGGATAGACCATTGAAACTACAGGGTAATTATATGGTGTTTATAAAGCATCCCTATGGCAGAGGCAGGGGGGTCACATGAATACAATACAGAAAAATGTGACTAGTGCCAGTGTCAGAGATACAGGACTATATATAGGAGATCCCTATTTTTATTCTTTCAGTTTTCAGTATGTCCCGAATTCTCTTTAGTGAACATGTAACATTTTCTAAAAATTTAAATAAGCATTTTTTATTTTTTTTTTAAGATTTTTTATTTATTTGAGAGAGAGAGAATGAGAGAGAAAGAACACATGAGAGGGGATAGGGTCAGAGGGCGAAGCAGACTCCCTGCCAAGCAGGGAGCCTGATGCGGGACTCGATCCAGGGACTCGATCCAGGGACTCGATCCAGGGACTCGATCCAGGGACTCGATCCAGGGACTCCAGGATCATGACCTGAGCCGAAGGCAGTCGCTTAACCAACTAAGCCACCCAGGCGCCCCTAAATAAGCATTTTTTTAAAAGAGGTTTGGTGGTAGGGGCGCCTGGATGGCTCAGTCGGTTAAGTGTCTGCCTTTGGCTCAGGTCATGATCCTGGAGTCCCTGGATCGAGTCCCGCATCGGGCTCCCGGCTCAGCGGAGAGCCTGCTTCTCCCTCCCCCTCTGCCTGCCGCTCTGCCTACTTGTGCTCTCTATCTCTCTGTCAAATAAATACATAAAATCTTTAAAAAAAAAAAAAGGTTTGGTGGTAAAGGGAAGGGGAGGGATAGGGGAGTGGCTTGAGAGAGGGGAGTGGGTTTTTAGGATGGGGATTATCTGAAAGGATTTATGGTCAGGGGAAAGGGTGAGGCTGATTCAGGAGAAAAAAAGACTCCAGGAAGGACACAGTAATCACGGATGGGGTGGGGGAGGTGGTGGTGGGGTTGGGAGAGTAGCTTGAGAGAGGGGAAAGACATCTGTTTTGAGCAAGAGAGGAGGTAAGAACGGGCAACTCTGGAGATGTACTGGAGGGAAGTGGAGGGACTTTTCACCAGGGAACATTTATTTTATTTGGAAACTAGGAATCTCAATCCGTTGAGAGCCAAGATGTGGGAGGGAAGTGGTGTCATTTACCATGTGTCATCTCAACAAAGATTTTTATTTAAGCCTTTCTAAGGACAAGGCACCATTCTATGCAGGCTGAAGAATAAAAGGGTGAATTAAAATGAACCAGACAATCTGAGACATGCAAACAAATAGCCACAAAATAAAATAGAAAGGGCTCTGTGCCATAAAATAGGTCCAGAAAAGGGTGGGGCTTTTAAGCTGGGGCTTAGGGAAGGCTTTTTGAAGAAGAGGGTATTGGAGATGGGTCTTGGAATAGCACTTAGACATATGGTTTGGGGGCGTTGGGGAGAAGACAGGGAGTAGCATGAGGTGGTACAGGAATAAGAAATCCCAGGGTCTGTTCAGATGAGATCTAGTAGCTGAATTTGGTTAGAACATAGTATATACAGGAAATAGGATATAGAAGGTGAGGGAGCCGATTTTGTAAGGACTTGAATGCCCAGGTAAGGAATCTAGACTTTATTCCATGCATTAGGGGTTTCTAAATTTTTTTAATCATGCACCCTATTAGTAATAAAATGTTAGAATATGTTTCCCTGACATATGTATGACTATTTATTATATGTGTTTATATCAATAATTAATATATTAAATATTAGCAGAGCTTAATTTCTTTCTTTGTAAGTAAAAACAAATAAAAACAGATGCCTTTAAGAAAATGAGAAAGCAAGTCACAGACTGGGAGAAAACATTTGCAAAAGATAAATCTAATAAAGGATTTTATCCAAAACATTCAGAGAACTCTTAAAACTCAAAAGTAAAATAAACAACCTGATTTAAAAATGGCAGGAGCACCTGGGTGGCTCAGTCAGATGAATGTTGGACTCTTGATTTTGGCTCAGGTCATGATCTCAGGGTTGTGAGATGGAACCCCGCATTGCATGGGCTCCATGCTCAGCGGGAAGTCTGCTTCTCTCCCTCTCTCCCTACCCCTCTTCCTCCTGCTCGGTGTGTGCACGTGTGCTCTCTCTTTCCCTAAAATGAATAAATAAATCATTAAAAAATATAAATAAATAAATAAAAATAAAAAAGGGCAAAGACCTGAGCCTCAACAAAGAAGATGTACAGATGGGCAAATAAGCATATAAAAAGGTGCTTCACATCATATGGCAATAGGGAATGCAAACTAAAACAACAATGAGATATCACCACACACCTTTTAGAATGCCAAAATCCAAAATACTGGTGAGGGTGTGCAGCAACAGGAATGCTCATTTTTGCTGGTGGGAATGCAAAATGGTACAGTCACTTTGGAAGACAGTTTGGTGGTTTCTTACAAAACTAAACATACTCTTACCATACAAACAATCCAGTAGGCATGTTCCTTGGTATTTATCCAAATGAAGCAAAAACAACATACACACAAAAACCTGTACATGGATGTTTACAGCAGCTTTATTCATAATTTCCAACACTTGGAAGCAACCAAGATGTCCTTCCACAGGTGAATGGACAGATAAACCGTGGCCCATCCAGACAATGGAATATTACTCAGAGCTAAAAGGAAATGAGCTATCATGCCATGAAAACACATGGAGAAATTGTACATGCATACTGTTAAGTGAAAAAAGCTAATGTGAAAAGGCTACATACTGTATGATTTCAACTATATGACATTGCAGAAAAAGCGTAACTGTGGAGACAGTAAAAAGATCAGTGGTTGCTGGACGGTGGAGGGGAGAGAGGACTTTCAAGGCAGTGAAATGTATGTGTGATACCATAATGGTAGATACATGTCATCATGCACACGTCCAAGCCTATGGAATGTGCGACACCAAGAGTAAACCCTAATGTGAACTGTGGACTTGGGGTGAAAATAATGTGTTGACTTAGGTTCATAGATTACAACAAATGTAATACTCTAGTCAAGGATGTTGATAGTGGGGAAGGCTGTGCCCATGTGGGGACAGAGGCAGATGGGTATGCTCTGTACTTTTTGCTCAGTTTTGCCGTGACCCTAAAACTACTCCAAAAAATAAAGTTTGTTTTAAAAGGAAAAGTCACTGTCATATGACCAAATGTACACAGCCAATAAATATAGTAAAATATTAAAAACCAGAGAAATCGATTTCTGATCCTTTCCCCCCACAAGCCAATGATTTATCTTGTGCATTCCTGGGGGTTTGCACCCCCTACTTTGGAGACCTGTGGTCATATGAATCCTCCTTTGGCAGGGGAGTGCTGCAACCTGGTCTTCGTGCATAAGCCCCTGGAGCCCAGTATGAGACTGCTGGAAGGAGGCAAGATTGGTTAGGAGGTCAGACTTTTTTTACTTACTCATTGAGTTCTTCCTCTAGGCAATGCCCCCAGAGGAGGCAAAGTAAACAAAAAGGAATACAATGGAGGAGGCCGTAGAGATGATGAACACATTATTGCCCAGTCCAGTTACATTGGGGCTTGTCTCAGTGAGGACCAAAGGCTACAGAGCCATGGATGAACTTTGGGTAAGGTGAGACTGGGGGAGGAGGGCATGGCAGTGGCCTAGTGAGGAAAAGGCCTTGCATCCGCCAGAGATAGCTGTGTTTCTTGTATTGAAGGCCTGGAAGTGAACTCATCCCATGACCTGTCCCTGCATCACCAAACTACTGCCTACGCATTCCCCACACTGATCCTCGCAGGACCCACATGCCTCCAACAGAACCCCTTTTGCTGTCTGTCCCCTCTTGGCACGGTCATCTTCTTTGTGCTATGGCCTCTCCTGCCAACTGGTATGCCATCAAGCATCCCTCTTTTGCCCAAATCTCTCTTTCCACTGTGCCTTCTGAAATTCCCTTTCCTTAGTAAATAAAGCTACCTATGTTATTAACCTCGTCAATTCCTGGGCTCAACCGAAGGCACAGCTGCTCCATAAAAACTGTGGAAGAGATGCTTCCATCTGGTAACATTTCCAGTGCTATTTCCAGGATGGTTAGGCCTCTCTGCTTGCATAAACCCTGTTTCTTTGAGAGTCATGCCACGTAGTTGCCTCAGCCTCCTGCTTCCGGTCACTGTCATCTTCTGACCTTCTGGTCACTCGCTCTCTGCTGGAAAGCCTTTAGCTCTTGCTTACACTCCTGCCCTCCACCCTCACCCTGCTATTGTTCAGACAAATTCATCATCCCCATGGCAACAGTCTAGCTTCTTTCTTACCTGACCACTCTGACTCTAGAGACCAGCAGCACCCAACTCCACATGGAATCACCCTGGCTCTAGGAACACCTAGAGTTTGTTTCCTCCCAATTCCATTTCTCTCTATTTCTACTGTTCTAAGACACTACGACCTGAGGGCCGGATGCAGCTCACTGTTAACTTTGTAAATAAAGTTTTATTGGGACACAGCCATGCCTCTGTGTTTAGGTACTGTCTATGGCTATTTCTTGCTACAAGAGCAGAGTCAAGTAGCTGAGACAGACACCATATGACCCACAAAGCCTAAAATATTTATGACCTGGCTTGATAGAAGAAGTTTGCTAACCCCCATTCTAAGCACACAAAATAAAATAAAAATCTTTTTCTATAAAATTAATACCCAAGTATTATAGAAAGTTTAGAAAATACAGAAAAGGATACAATAAAGAAAAACAACTTGTTATTCCATAACTTAGATACAATCACTATTAATATTTTAGTGTTTTTCTTTCTGTTATCTTGTAGTTTTCATGCCTGAGTGTGTGTAAATATAAATATGCCTATATACAAAATTAGGATCATAATTTTAAAACCTGCTTTGTGATTTCAAAATATATTATGAATATTTTCCTATATGAATTATTATGTTTTTGTAACATGATTTAAACTTTCTGTGTAGTAGTCCATGGAATGGATGTAACAAAATTTAGTCAGTCATCATTGCAGAAAATTTATGATGTTTACAATTTCTGCTCTTTTAAATAATGCTGTGCTGAACATTGTGAACATTCTTAGCTCTGGAAGGTCATGAGAGGAGGGTTAGAGTCATCATCTACAGAATGGACATTTTGTTTTCTCTCTCTCTCTCTCTCTCTATATATATATAGTGATAAGAATGCTAGTAAGTTAGCATTGTATTTCACATATTCCTAGTGGTCCTTGGGGGTTTAGGGGCCTGGGTGGGGGGGTAGGGAAAGGGCTGGAGGCAGGAGGAACAGTATACACTAGCACCAGCAGTATTTTATGAAAGCAATTAACTGGGAAACAATGTTAAGAGTGCTATATTATATAGGTTACATATTCTTGCTTTAAATCTTAAAGATGAAAAAAATAGAATTTTCTTTGTGATGAATAAAATTTTAATTGTTGGGTGACTGGGTGTTATGAACCAAACTGGGCAAGATGCAGGGATGGGAGTCAGTTGGGAAGACAAATGGACCACTTGAGGTTTGCACATACATATATCTTATGAT